GAGTAACGTTATCCATGCCATATCTATAGGTATGGTAAAGTTTTGTTGGAAAATTTAAAGCATTCGGCTCATTAACATTCAACATTTACCTCTTTAAACTTAGGTATTACTTCTCGACCTGCATCTTCTTTCGGATATATGTCAATCCAACACGGATCGCTACGATGTGAACTTGTCAAGTTTTCAATTAAGCGAGGATACTATGAAAAATGTCAGATATTCAACTGGTATTCCGAAATCTTATTCACCTGTGGTACCATGTCTATACATTTTCCATTCAGTTAGCACCAGTGTCCCCATCTCTCATAAAATTTGCTGTCAGTCTTCTGGAAATGTTCCGTGCAGAACCAGCCCTCCTCAACGACAGAGGTGTTCTTATCATTCGGTATAGTCGCAGACTGGAGTTGATTAACTAGGTTCATTTACCTAGCACTGAGATAATGTTTTCCAGGCAACTGTGTCTTCTGATGGAACCAGCACATATCTATCGTGCTCTTTGTGTACTACTTTTGAGAGAACAAAGCATCACTTTCATACAGGTGGGGGACCTTTTGTTCTAGATTCCTTGAAGATCAGTGGTTAATGTGGCAAGCTCCCATGAAAATAAGTCTCACGTGAATTCCAGAATGCTGTCTCAATGCTGCATGGAGTTCTACTGACTGCTACAGAGTTGTTTATTCTGCGGGATCAACTACGGAAGCTGGAAGGAAAGGTTGGAGCTGCTCACGTTTTCTTCTTGGAGCTTCTTCATCTTTGTCGCCGTAGATGACCTGGAAGAACACTAAGGGGATGTGCAATATGCATTCAGGACTCAGTATCGTTATTTGAATGCGTCTTTCGATGTTGGTGCTACCGGCCGATAGCCCTACTTGGATTATGCCTACTTTCCCAAAACTATGCACAAGCAGCTGAAATCGCTTTGCTGTTGTCAGAGGTACAATTTTCAATTATAGCCCAATTTCCGACTTATCCCTGAGACGTTGCGTTTTTTCTGTGAACTATGGTTATTTCGAGCTTTTTTATTTTTCTGCTCATATTTGTCGCTTTTATTCGGTAAAATGAATCTAAACGGCCGATGTGCTCATGAGCGTCTAGCAAAAGGCTGTTTTCAAGGGTGCAACTCATGTAAATGTTGGAGGGGGCTACAAGTTTAGGAAACGGGAATACTGTTAATGAGGAGCTACAGTTTCGCAACAAACGTAAATTGGTGAGATTCATGGAGACGATTGTCGGAGAACTTCCGCAAAGATTAGGGGTTGATATTGTTCGGTATTAGGTCATTATTAGGAGTACAGCAGCAAAATTGTTTCTCTCA